TCGTCGTTCAGCAGGCTCAGGGTCTGATTAATTGCAACCAGCCCAACTTGCAACGACGCCTGGCTGAATATGAGGATCTCAGGAAGAATTTTGTGTCGGTTAAGTTGATTCATGTTAAACGCGAATTCAACCAAGCGGCTGACTACCTAACTTCTAAGACTCTCGTGCTTGGAGAGTCCTGGGAGCTCGATGATCCTGATGAGATAGCCTACGTCTCGTATCCAGAATCCCAGAAAAGATCATGAAGCCTTCGGAAATCCCAGGCACCCCTGCGACCGATGTAGTTTGCTCTAACCAAGGTGAACTCAGGACGAATAGTGCTGATGCCGGAATACCAGAGTCTCTAGCTACCGCGGCTGAGGCATTGATGGTGATGACGAGGTCACGAGCGGAAGTGGATGCCTGTTCCCGGACTCCTGTAGACCAGTCTGGATACCAGGATGAACGTTGGAGGAGAATCAAGGTTCACCAAGACGAAGACTCGTGGATTCAGCAAGTGAAGAAAGTCCTAAAAAGAGAGGATCTTCCACGGAACCAGGTCAAGAAGATCGCGAAGGTCTCCGATCGGTTTGTGTTGGATTCGCGAGAAGTCCTCTACAGACTGAGCACACCTACTCCTGAGAGACCCGGCTGAACTCAGGCTGGTAGTCCCAGAAACTTTACGTGCTGACATGTTACACTACTCGCACGAAGACTTTCAAGGCGGTCACCAAGGAATCAACAGGACGTTTGAGCGATTACGTTCAGAGTTCTACTGCATCGGGATGTACGCTGATGTACAGAAGTTTGTGAGAGAATGTGTGGATTGCGCGTCAGCCAAGGGACGACCACCGGTTCTCGGTCCGTCACCTGGTAATATCGAACAGAGATACCCGTTCGAGGTGGTCTCTCTGGACTTTGTCACTGAGCTACCTGAGTCCGATCGTGGAAATACCTACTTGTTGCTGTTCCAAGATCAATTCTCAGGATACGTCATGTGTAAACCCATGCGGAATACCGAAGCCCAAGATGTTGCTGAGGCATACGAAGAGTGCGTACTCAGGAGATTTGGGGCGAGTTCAATGATCAGACATGATCAGGACCCCCGTTTCATGAGTAAAGTCTTCGCTAGGTTCAGAGACCTCCTGAAGAGCAAGCAGCGCACGACGCTAGGATACCGGCCTCAGGCCAACGGACAGCAAGAACGCTCAGTCCAAACGGTAATGCGAAGTGTCAGAGCGTATGTCGCTGAAGTTGACCAGGGTGACTGGGACGAGAATGCAGAACATCTCGTGTTCGCTTTGAATACCTCGTTCGACGCAGCAAGGCTGGACACTCCGTTTTACCTGGTCCATGGTTGGGACGCCCAGGGAACCATATCCGCAATGCTGGGCCCGAAGCCATCCACAGTCCAAGAACGAACGGCCTTGGAGTGGCGTCGGAAGATGCAACGGGACTATAG